GTTTTGCAACAAACTCTCCAGTGGATGATATTGACGGAGAATTCATAATAATGTTCGGGCTGCCCGACTTTTTCATTACGAAAAATGCTTTCAAACTCACAGTTCCCGCGCGATTGGAAGGTTGTCCTATCATGCCAGAGGGTGTCCAACTCACCAAAGAGTAGGGGATCATGACTGCCGAAATCATGGCAGAAACGCGTCAGCACACCAAATCTAAAATGGAACCATTCTCGCGATGCCATCGCTCCCTATTTGAGCGATCCCGAAGCCTACAGCATCACGAGCAGTCAGCTAATGTTCCTCCATGGTCCGTGCCGCATCCAACTTCTTTCTAGGCTCCCAGCAGCTCGTTAAGGAGGGTAACCTACTACACCTGCTATAAAGTCACGCCAGGTTCGTCTGATAGTTTCCAACACGAAATCCTGTCGTATACAAAAGGCAACTTCTCATCCGTATCAAATAGTCATGGCTAAATTCGTCCCACGCCTTCAAAAGTGAAGCAAAACGACGCTAAAATTGAGCGGTACTAGTATTTCCCAAGAGCGTCCAACAAGTGGAAGCATCTCTTACGATCGTCCAAGTTGAATGTGCGTGAGGTATTTTTGCTCTAAATCGTACACCACGGCATGATTGGCTAAAAGTTTCATTAGTTTAATAGCCATGGAAATAAATCTCAGGTGGGTTTTACAGTCCTTTAGTCCTTTCCGTTCCAGAATTTCAGCGACCCTCAGCAATCACTAACTGTACCCGCCGTCCATAACGCCATACGCGACGACCACCGAGCGGTAAGACGCAGCGACTTTCGACCTATACTCATGTACACCCGGACCATATATATATATATATATATATATATATATTCTACTGTAGACATGCGGCGTCCTCTGGTAGTTCACCTCGACCTACCTACCGCCGCAGACCAACGACGATGACCACCGCGATTGGCTGCGCCACCAAAATGATCAAATGTCACGCATCCAAAACACGTGGAAATAGTAAAAAGCATCGTGGGCTCATATACTCAAGGCTTCACGAAGAACTACGCGATACCGAACATGCCGCGCTGGCAGCGGCTATGAAATCGACGAGAAGATGATTAAGTGTTTTACACAAACGAACAATGTCGACTTAGCAGACGCATGCATTGCATAGACCCGCATGGTAAGTCGACAAATTGACGATAGTGTAGCGCATAGACAGCGCGCCTGCTCTACAGGACGCCTGAGTTCGATTCCCAGCACTATCCGTTGATCAAGAACACGCTAAGCACAGATCGGATCACTGCGTTAACATCGCTGCAGGTGCTGTGGCCTAAGCTTTGTTGTCGATTGACATGATGATAAGAAATGTTCGAATGACACTCTTTCACCATGTAAGGAGCACGAAGCCTTCAACGACACCTCGTCGTTGACCACGAAGCTTCTTGTTTTGGAGCACGATGGTATGACGCCAGGGGGACACAACGTCCGAGCGGCAGTTAAACTGGTTGTCAAGCCGCATGATGGCACCACGAGGAAGTGAGACAGAGACGATACTGATAGCAGGCACTCTTAGATGGCGCGGCGCTCCTCGTGGTTGAGGTGGGATTTACCGCCATTTCTGCTACGTGGACTCCGTGGGTGGACGGCAATACTGCTGGCAAGTTGCATTGAAATTGCTTGGAGTGGAGTGATGGATGTGTGCTGTTCGTGTGATGTGACAATGAGTACTGATGTTAGTGTGATGGGTCAGAGTTTGGATGAATTAACACGGCATTTTTAGCGCCAAATATCTCATGAACAAAAACACATTAGAACGCTCATAAAATGCCCAATCAAAGCAGAGATCTTGTGCTTTCTAATGCACCAGTCGCCTCTGAATTTGGGCGACATTTAACAAACTTCCACCTATCGGAAGTCGTACCATGCAACCATCAGTGGGCACGGAAGCAAGATCCGCGTCCGAGACCGCACCATGGGGCGTTGCATTGTCGTGCTGCAAGAGTACACGCTTGTTCGAGCTTGGGAGCATTTTCAATTCTGATATTTTCAATATATTTTAATAAAAAACATAATTTTCAAAATAAAAATGAAGACGGCCTTGATGGCAGGTACGACCTTGGTGAGAATGTACTCTCGATATACTGACCCATCAACACTGACCAAAGATGGCACCAACGTACCAGCCAGTCGGCTGCGCGAGTTTCGGGCAGCGGGTGTCATGCGAACGAACGGCCACATTCCAACCTTGCCATCAAACAGACAACCCCGGTCAGAGACAAAGTGTGGACGAGCGACGGCACACAGGAACATCAATTTAGGAATGAATCGCTTGCTTTTCCAGGCCCTTTGGGGTGGAGTCTCTCCGGGAAACAGGTAGTACTTTCGAACAACTTTTCAGCGTTGAACCATTTCTCGTCCAGATGAACCACGTCCCAGAGGTTGTCAAACTCGACAGAGGCAGAGGCATTGAAGGGCGGATCACGAAGACTGGCTCCGCCGGTGTTCGCGAGCGCAAGCGAGCGGCAAAATTGGACGCGTTCGGCCTTGCTGGTTTCGTTCAAGAGCGGCTTGATCCTTGTCGTGCGACGCTGAAGGGTTCCTTTCTTGAGATTGCGACTCAGGGTTCCAAGGGACAACCCACAAGCCGCATAAATTCCACGAAGTGTCGATCGCTGGTCCAATGGTACTTCCTGGACGAGTCTCTGGCAGGAGAGTACTTCGACTTTGGCCCAACTCGCCCAGGCTTGTTGGACTTGGTGGTGCCTGTCGTCCAAAACTTGCGCCAGATTGATGCGACCGCGTGGGGTTGGCGAGCGAGCTTCTCAGCTGTGCGTTTGAATGCCCCGCGCTTGAGATTTTCTCCAATTAGGAACGCTTTTAGGTGTTGGATTACTCTTAATTTGACGCTATTCGAGAGGTCTCGGCGGGTATGGTTCACTTGATTCTCCATGGCGGCAAGTTTGAATATGACAGTTTTGGACTATGTGGGGTATTTTTTTTCGGTGGTTGGAATTTGATGTTGAGTTTTTAGCTCGAAACACGAGCTGTGGCGCTTTGCATCCAATCGATGCCTTCTGTAGTTTTTTATGCTTTTTATAAAATGATAATTTGTTTGAAAATATGTCATCAAATCAATTTTTGGGTCGTTGAAAAGTCGAAAGTAAAAGAAATGTGGAACAAAGGAATAGTAGGGTTTGCCATTTTATGCATAATCCCGTCAAGCCCCTCGTAAGTGCGACCAAAGGGAACAAGTTGCGCAAGAAGCGTCAAGTCAAGGCGAAGAAGACCACGCCGTTGAAGAAGGTTATCACCGTCTCAAGACACTAGTGCCGATAAAGTCCAACAAGACCTTGTTGAGGCTCTTAAGCGGCCCGAACGAATTTCAAAGCATCTCCAAGTAGTACTTGTAAAGGATTATCTCGGTTACGATCCCCATGGTCGTCAACTACATCAAGTACCACTTTCGAACTTTCTCCCAACTTATAGAACAAGCAACAAACCTCGTGGACAAGTCTATCTTAAACGAAGTCGACAAAATTAATACGGCCAAGCATCTGCCCATTATTAAGTCTCGCGGTTACAACTAATTTCAATTTATTAGTTCGTTATTTCCACTACGTTCATTGTACTGCATTCATTGTACTGAACCATGGATATTAAACATATGTCCACGTGTTCAACTGAAAGTCGTTTAATGAATGGGAGTGTCGACTCAATGCGCACCTTGAATTCAAGGAAGTCCTTGAAGTTGTCAATGGCACAATGCCTCCAACTCACGATGACTTTATCTCGTAGAACCGTCTTGCCCGCGTCTTTATCCTTATCCTGACAGGTCGACAACCACCACGTCCGTATGGTTTCCAAGCAACCGACTACTGCGTCCATGATGAAGCTCCAATGCGAACGATAAGGCTCCAAGTCCTTTATGTGCGAATCTTATATGTATCAAAACCTGATGGAGTTTCGCATCCGCCACAACGAATCGGCCGGTGCATATTTCGATCCTTCCAAGATTCATCTCGATGAAGAACTCAATGCTGGGATAACTATCGACGCCAAACTCCAAGCTTACATCTTCCTAAACAGCCTCGTCCAGCGGTTTGAATCCTTCATCAACTTTCAAGCCCATGTCTTTCAACACGGCGAAGTCATCGATGAAGCGGCGCTGCCCAAGTTGTTTACTGCGCTCATTGAAATGAGATCCGAAGCTCTATGGATCTTCAGATGCAGCATTAACGACAACCCTTCGTCGAAATCAACGATCCGGCCCCAATCACGGCAACCACGACACACACGCCGCCGTCTGCAGCTACTGCAACATACGCAGCCACACTGAGGAAGTTTTCGTTCGTAAGAGTGTCGACCTGCAGCATTCTAACAGTGGCCCACGCCGCGTCCTGAGCAATATATCCCCGCCTGCGGATTTTACTGCATCTGCCTCGTCGGAACGCCACCATGGCTCATCATCTCCATCGTCGTCCGGCTCCAATTGCCGTCGTCAAGGTCAGTCTTCTACCAACCAAGTCAGTATGCTTGCCAATGTGAAGCACTTCACACTACAATCCTCCGCTCCACTTCCAGTCTTCTACCAACCAAGTCAGTATGCTTGCCAATGTGAAGCACTTCACACTACAATCCTCCGCTCCACTTCCAGTCGTCTCCTCGGAATGGATTATAGGCTCTGGCGCATAAAATCAATACTGCAACAACGCTGCTTGGTTTGAAGAACTCCGCCCTTGCCATGACAAAGTGCGTGCTGCAAATGGTGGTGACATGACGAACAAAGGACGAGGGCCTGTACTATTGGAAATGTACACCCCTTCTGGCATCATTCCCGTTGTCCTGGGCGATGTCTTGTTTATTTCGGAAATACACTTCAACCTGTTCTTACTCTCCTGCGTTACCAGCAAGAACATTGAGGTCGAGTTTCGTGAAGACGATTGCTCCGTCACACGCGATGACCAGGTCTTTGCCTTTGGCATGTGCCGGAACAACTTATTTTTCTTGGACATTGCCAATCCTTTGACTCCCGCCGAGCTCAACGCTCCAGATGTTACAATTGATCACTCACTTTTTACGACTACCGATGCCGATCAGCCTCAAGCACACAGTGAAGACCAAGCAATGCACGACTGGCATTGAGGTTCCTAGCTGCAAGCACCAGTTTTGCTCGAGTTATCTCGACGGAAAGCCTGCCGTTTCCATAACGTTCATTGTCGTTACCGATTAACCCATTGCTCTCGTTTCCTCAGATCTTTGTGGACCTATGCGCCATCCTGCACTCAGTGGTCGTTCGCGTTATTTCATAACGTCCACCGATGATTTTTCGCGCTTTGGCTACGCCTCCTTCCTCCAGCACAAGTCTGATGCACTCCAGTGTTTCAAATACTCCGTTGCATATTGCCACACGCAATTCAACAGACCAGTGCGTCGTCTACGTTCTGAAAATGGAGGGGAATATGTCTCTGCTACCTTCTCGTCATTCCTCGTCGAGAATGGTATCCATCACGAGATGACTGTCCCTCACACTCCACAGCAGAACGGCGATAGCAAACGGATGACCGCAATCTCGTTAAATGTGCTCGAGCGATGCTTCATTACAGCAATGCGTAGCTTCGATTTTGGGTCGAAACAGTCTCTGATGCAATGTGCCTGCGCAATCATTCTTATTCTTCATCCACGCCTGATACTACGTCCTTCGAGCGCCTGTATAAGGCTCGTCCTGACTGGTCAGATTTGCGCATACTTGGTTGCGAAGCCTTTACCCGCTGAGTGTGCTCTATTGTACGCATTGACGAACCAGACCCTTGCTTCAACTGTGTAACGACGTTGAGCGCGCTGTGGAAGGACTGTTCCAGGCATTTCAGTATAGATTTGACTGTTCTCAAATTAACCAATTGGATCCAACTTGAATTATGTATGGAAAACTATTTGAATTTACAATAATTCGAGTCGCTTTCTACGACGCACCGCGGAACGACTCTTCGATTGTCTGCTTTGACGCCGCGGTCACCGAGGGCTTACGATGCATGTTCGGTAATGATGGTGTTGAAACTGCTATTGTTTCCAATGGGATCGTGCTATTGAGAAATGTGGATGATATGTTCTTGTGCGACATTGCCATCGCCCAATCCAATTGTGTGAATATATTTCATCCAATCATTGCACTTCCTGTTGTCGGTCGTCCAATCCCCTGGTCAAAATTTGTCGGTTAGATGTCGGATGCCATATACATGTAAATTTGTCTAATCATGGACTCAGATTGAACCTGACTGAACCAATCAGAGATCATGAGTTACGATAAAAAATAATTGGTCAATCATGGGCTAAGAACCTATTTTGCTTCAGGTTTTGTGTATGATATCACCTGATCCCACTACAAATTTATTAAAAGTACAGCGCTTGCCAGTGTTTTCCAAGTTGACTTCATTCCACTGGTTCCTGTAACAGAGCTATAAGAATGTATGGATGAATGTATGGGCGTCATACAGCCTCTGCACAAGAGTAAAAAGAGTGTTGCATTTCCCGATGGGTACTCCATGTTACTGTATGTCTTTGCCTCATTTAACGTGACTTGATTATTCACAGCTAAACATGCGAAATTAAGCGAATACAACTTTGAATTCAAAGTGATGACAGATTCGTGCATACGATATCGCTGCAACGTGCCATCGTATAAACCCTACGCATACTCTGCCATGGAGTCGTTACAGTGAGCGCCGGAAAAGTGTTCCCAGTGGTACTAGAGAAATATCTTGAAATTCGTATTGTAATAATATTACCCTCAACGAGGATTGGTAGTATTTATGTTCAAGCTGTTTTCGAATTGAAGAGCCTTATCCACAAGAAGAGGAACGCATCATACTCTGCCACGACGACCAGCAACAAATACTTAAAAAAACTATAAATATTTCGAATATGTAATTTTATATCTTCAAGTGACGAACATACAAAACAGGAGTCAGTGGCAGTGCATATTCAAATTAGCAGAGTGATGATTTCACCTGGCATGTCCTCATAGGCGTTAAAAGTAAACTTAACTATAGCCATGCGTTTTCGGCTGCAAACACAACCGTTTTTTTGTGAACCTAGTGTAGGCTTGGTTCGACGTTGATATCATCGATTACTTTTGCGGGATTTCGAACTAGCCAATGATTACAGAGGAAACAGTCAGTATAGATTTTATTGCCCGTAATGCTAATATCTTTTTGCCATTAATTCCTCGTTCAATATACGACTTTAACAAAGATGAGTACTTGTATCTGAGGAAGACTAAGAATGTTAATCCTACAGACAACGAGGGAATTTAAGCCACACTTTGAGTCGAAGTAAATTGGAAAACAGAAATCTAATTGGA